TCTTTTGATTTGCCCAAGTCGAACCTAATTTTCAGTCCTATTTTAACCGAAAGCTCCCTTAGTTCGGATCTTCATCGTGTAAAACCAGTTTACTCACCGGGTCCCGATGGAATACCAGGCTGCGTGCTTAGGTATTGTGCTGGAGCTCTGTGCAATCCCCTTCTGAAATTGTTTACCTTATCTTTAGAAACCTCAGAATTTCCCCTTATTTGGAAGGAATCATTTATTATTCCTCTCTACAAAAAAGGTAGCAAATCGGACGCCAGCAACTATAGAGGAATCTCTAAGTTGTCGGCAATTCCAAAACTTTTCGAGAATGTAATTACTCCCCACTTGCAGCATTTATGCAGATCCGTAATTTCACCATGGCAGCATGGTTTTATGAGGCGAAGATCGACCACTACAAATCTCCTGGAACTCACCTCTTTCGTTATTAGAGGTTTCCAACGTAACTTTCAAACCGACGTTATTTACACAGACTTCAGTAAAGCTTTTGACTCGGTTAATCACTCTCTTCTTGTAAGGAAGCTTGACTTAATCGGGTTTCCTGTCGATCTTCTCAAATGGATTTTGAGCTATTTGAGTGACAGAACTCAAAAGGTTCTGTTTAAAAATGCTCTATCCAAATTCCTCAGAGTCACTTCTGGCGTCCCACAGGGTAGCCACCTCGGCCCGCTGCTATTTACATTGTTTATCAATGACCTCCCGCTGGTTCTAACGAATTCTAGAGTACTTATGTACGCTGATGACGTTAAGCTATGCTTGCAGTATAAGGACAGCTCTTGCCAGTCAGACCTGCAATCGGATCTTAATAACTTTCAAGCATGGTGTCGTGCTAATTTATTACATCTCAATAGCTCTAAATGCAAGCTGATGACATTTTCACGTGTCACTCCCCAGTTTGCAACTTATATGCTAAATGATTGCGCTCTTGAAAGAATATCTCTTGTTGATGATTTAGGCGTTCGCTTAGACCCTAAACTTTCGTTCTCAGAACATATTTCGTGTATGGTTAATAAAGCCAAGGGCATGCTCGGTTTTATTAAGAGGTGGTCGAAGGAATTCGATTCCCCTTATATAACGAAGACCCTTTTTACTTCGTTAGTTCGCCCTATATTGGAGTATGGTTCATGCGTCTGGAGTACTCAATTCGGAATCCATATCAACCGTATTGAATCTGTACAAAAGAACTTTTTACTTTTTGCCCTCCGGGGCCTACCTTGGGATGCTGAAGAGAGGCTACCGTCCTATTCAAGTAGACTCCTATTAATTAACTTACCCTCCCTAGCTAACCGTAGAACGATGCTCGGTGTCGTATTCCTTCATAACCTAATAAACGGTGATGTTGAGAGCCCTTTTCTTTTAGGGCAGCTTAACTTCCACGTTTCCCGACTAACATCTAGAACCCTTATCCCTTTAGTAATAAATCACTGTAGGCGGGAGTTTGAAGTACATGAACCCTTTAGGGTTTTATGTTCGGATTATAACCGCCTCTCTGATATTATTATTCGTAGTGATAACCCGTCTATATTAAAAACCTTAATACTTGTAGAGTTAGCTCGTAGTGTAGCACCGTAGTCTAATTTTGCATGCGTTTTTATTTTATTTTACCTATTTATTTATTTTTGCATGACTTGTAGTAGTTATCTCGTAGTGTAGCAATAATTTTGCATGCGTCTTTATTAATATTTTTTTTTTTTATTTTTGTTTACTTATTTATTTATATAGTTATATACTTATAGAATACTGTCCTAATTTTGCATGCGTTTTTATTTACCAATATATTTATATTAGATTTAGTTATTTTATATTATATTTTGTTCTCTAATGTTTCCTCGTTCATTTTCATCTTTCCTTCTAGCGCGTCTATCTAGTTCGCGATTCGTGCCGTACGTCACACGACTGCGCCCCTCGGTCGGTTGGGCGGGAGGTGGAAGCGGGACCCCGCGCGAAAAAAAAAAAAAAAAAAAAAGTGTTGTTGCCGAGATCAACGAAGACGTGGAGAATGAAGAGAATACGCAAAATTGTTTGTGTAATCTGCTTTGCTTATGGAGTGAGCCGTGCATGCATACCGCGATTGCTCTGCCTTTGCTAAAAAGCAATTACAAAAACAATGCGAGCACAAAGAGCTATGGGCTGGGCATGACTGCACTATATAATGGAAGGCAAACTATTAGCTATACAGTTTCTTTTCTTTAATTACTGTAGTTTCTTAAACATTTAATTGTTTTAAATTATATAAAATTAAATTACATAAAATTAAATTAAATTAATAAATTAATTAATAATATAAATAATTTGATTATTTCAAGTTCCCCTATCGAATTAAAATTATTGGATACATTCATGCTCTATAAATAATTTTTTTTTTTTGAGAATAAATATCTACATTTATACTTTAAAAATTCGTAATATTATATTTTCTTGAATATTCCTTTATACATTATATATATTTTCCCCCTTAGCAGCCACATCTTAATTCTTTTTCATTGAATTTAAACAGAGCTATTGAATATATTCAAATAGTGAATGATCATTGAATTTATAAAAGTGAGCGAAATAAAATGAAGAAAGAACGCAATTTGATAATGAAATAATATTTAGAGTATTTAGAATATTAAACATGTTTTAGTTGTATTTGTTTGTTTTAAAAGAATTTAATGTTCCGTTAATGCATTTATTTATAACAAACAAATACAACTAAAACATGTATTAATGCATTTATATTAACGGAACATTAAATTCTTTTAAAACAAACAAATACAACTAAAACATGTTTAATATTCTAAATACTCTAAATATTATTTCATTATCAAATTGCGTTCTTTCTTCGTTTTATGTTTACATGTTTAATATTCCAAAACTATAAATATGTTTAAAATAAATGTTAATATTATGAAATCGAATTAAACCTTGAGTATTCCGGAAATCATGGGATACAGAAGTGTAACAACGAAACCCATTTAATCACTTTAGCGACCACATGGGATCACTACCAACAAGAAAGGAAGCTAACTTCGGCACGCCGAAGTTTGTATACCCTTGCAGATATTATTTCATTAAATTTTACCTATACTTATTATGTTTAGAGTTTGACAGTTACAGTTTTACATTCCCAGTTTTACATTTTCTCTACATCTACCGATAGGTTTATATGGCAGCTATATGATATAGTTGTCCGATTTTCATAAAATTTATACCAAAATTCTGAACTAATAAAATAATTTTACATCTCAGAGTAGATAAAAATAGGTTGAAAAACATCGAAGTTATAATTTTTTTTCTATTAATTTCCCGATCGTTCCTATGGCAGGTAAAAGACATGGTCGTCCGATTTTCATGAAATTTTTACCGAAATTCTGAAATAATATAAAATGACCATATCTAATGGTGCAAAAATGTTGATAAACAGCCAAGTTATAATTTTTTTTCTAAAAATTTATCGATCATTTGTATAGGAGCTATATGATATATATATATATGACGATCCGGCCCGTTCCGACATATATAGCAGTGAGAGTATATAGAAGACTATATACAAAGTTTCATTCAGATAGCTTTAAAACTGAGGGACTAGTTTGCGTAGAAACGGACAGACGGACGGACAGACGGACATGGCTAGATCGACTCGGCTGTTGATGCTGATCAAGAATATATATACTTTATAGGGTCGGAAACGTCTCCTTCACTGCGTTGCAAACTTCTGACTGAAATTATAATACCCTGCAAGGGTATAAAAAGGGAGTTATACTGCAATATAGTGATAATGGTAGGGTGGGGTATAATGCCACTGGCAAACATCTTAGTGCGTCGAAATGTCGCTAAAGGAATTTTCTTACCCATCCTGTTCTAATCCCTCTACTACCTTTTCTCTTGTTCTTATTTTTCTTTCGTGGCTAGTTGAAAGGCTGTTACCCTCATTTCCCTTTCTAAATATAACACGCGAAAATTAGTTATTACTAGCATACTATTGTGAGCACGTAAAATAGTATCTTCCCTTGACCCTCACCCATAATGCCGACGAAGATGAGCCGGAACAAGCGCGTGTTTCCCAACTCAATTTACACTAACATCTGCTCATACGAATAATCATTTTACACGTTATATGCTACAATGCATGAGCATCAAAAAACTTTTAAGGGCTCTCCTAAAAAATGCCATTTTGAAAATCGGTGTACACGATAACTCAAAATCTACTAAACCAATTGGTTTGAAATTTGGAACATAACTTCTTTAGATAATTCCACAGGTACTCACGTCGAGTTTTTTTTTTTTTAATTTTGAATTTAATTATATTTTTAATTAAACAAATTAACTAAATTTTCTAGTCAAAAATCGGGGTTTTAACTTTCCATTTTTATAAAAAATCGGGGAAAAATTTTAAAAATAAAATAACCACGTGAGTACCTCGGGACACCTTTAACGAATGAGGTATAATTTTTTTAATATCGGATGATTTTGTGGACAATTAGGATATACACCCCAAACCAACTTTTTTGGAGGAGACTCGGGAGATTCCTTATAACTCCTCTACCTCTAAATATTTTGCAATACAAAATTTATCAAAAATAGTTCAAAAGTTGTGTTATTATATGGTATTAAATTCATTAAGCTAACTTTACCCTCTTCACCATAATTTTTTAAATAGTGGCCTGTTGTTCAACGAAATTACCCCCCCCCACCCTCCTTAACTGCGTTGCAGAGTGATCACTAAAATTAGATAAACCTAAAAAATTTTGGAAAATATATATGTATGTATTTATGTATATGTGTATTTATAACCGGACTAAGGCATACATACGTATATATGTATGTATGTTTGTATATATACGAGTTTTCTTATGAGGACTTATATGCCCCTTCTGGTAGCGAGATCCAAAATTCTAACATTATTAAAGGTCAAAATATCCAAATATTGATATAGGTAATAGATGTATAATATAATAAAAACACAAAATTCTTTTATTATCTATTAAATTACAGAAATGTTATGCACAGACCTTCCGCATTAAAAATATCCAATAGTTAATTATGCAATATCCACAACAAAATTTGGTGGTAGTTATTTTAATTTGTTATTTCTATTAATGTGAGGTAATGCCTATGTTTGAATTTTCGTAAAAACACATCATAGTTTTAAGCATCGCAATTCGCGTACATTACATATACACAACATATGCGCACACAACGGACAATGAAACAAGATTTCTAGCAGCTTTTTTAACAACAAATGTATGCACAATATTCAACAAATTACACACTGGTTAAACAGAATTGTATTTATTTAACATAATATAAAGCGTAGGGTTTCTTCATTAAGCTATGTTATATTAATTGAAAATTGAAATGATTTGACTTCTGGAACTGGGTGAATAATTTATTCGGAATCCTCCCCCTGCTGTTCCATCCCTGCATAACGACAATATGGAACGAAGGAATTGGAATGTAATTTTCCTCCCCTAAATATGTACATATGTATAATATTATTCCCGCTGATGAATACATCGATATGTACATAAATATTTACAAAATCGTTGAGTTTGTTTTGAGTTCAGCCCATTGAAAACCTTTGGAAAGAGTACTATATTGCTATTGGTTATAAAATGTTGTCGACCTGCGTAACAGTTGTAGTGGCGCTTGGGTAAGAATTAAATCACCCTTAGCCCAAAAGTCGAAACAGAGTTTAAAATTATGTTTCGGTCGGCGAACAGCAAAAATGTTCCCCGAATTGCTTGTAGCATACTTTTGGCGTAATATAATGCTTCCAGTAGCTATGCTCGGGAGATATCGGGAAGATCTAGGGTCGCTCTCGATAATGGAAAGGGCTAATGTCAAAATGACACGAACTCCAGCTTTCCGCTACGAAGTTAGCTATATCCGCCCGAAGCTATTTTCAAACTTTTTTTACTTTTAATCGATCTGACCCCTGCACTATGTGGCATTTGACCCGTTTTTTGTAGCCAAAATTAAAATTTTTAATATTAACAAGATTTTTCACTTCAGGTTTCTTGTATAATGATAATTATGACTATAGGAAGGTATTTTAGAAAAGTGGGCGTGTCCCCCCTTGCGCCTACAGAAATCGGAAAAAAGCGACACTAATTTTGGAACACAGGATAAATGTCCTATTATAAATGTGTCCTGCAAATTTGGTCCAGATCGCATTATAAATATAGAAGTTATTCAATAAGAGACATTTTTTTTAGTGTTTTTGTTCTATTCAAAAAACGCAAAAAAACACAAAAGGCCCACAATGAGCTTAATAGTTCTGAGTTCAGAATTGACTACTCTGCAACATGCATATGGACACTCACTGAAACAACTTGAAATTTGTTTTTAAACTCTTTGGAAAGTTCAACTTTCTTTCCAAAAATACACAAATTGTTAGAAAACTACGAACGAAACACGCAAGATACTAGTATCAACCCATAGTACTAACCTGAAGAATCAATATTCATTTTGAATTTGATTATTTATTGATTTCTTGCCTGTGATATTCCAATTTGAAATTGCACCTTAAAGTTAACATTTATGACAGCACGTGTTGTTCGCTTGAAATAGCTGACTTTAACAGCTGTTATCTTAGCACTAAACTGTTAAGTTAACATTTTAGGTATGTAACATAGCATTTTGATCAACATGGTAGCGTTGAAAAAACAAAAATTTGCGAACTCGCGAAAAGTTAGTTTTGGCCACAGAAACGGGTCAAATTCCAAAATTCGGTGGCCCACAACCCATCTTAGTTGCCCAAACGGACACGTGTGCTCGAGGCGCCACCAACCTAAAGGCATCGAGACTGCCCCAGGGCAGCCCCTTCTTTAGCGATCGAGCTTTGCCGGCCCAAGCGCAAGAAAGCGGAGAGCATCGATCGAAGCCCAGCATCGCGCAGTGAATTTTGTTGTGTTTTTCATCGGAGACAGACGTCTCTAACCCCTCGCTAAGCATAGCCATCTATCAATAGGCAAAATAATCGGCGATTGAATAACTAATAGTGCCTAAATTCGTCCACGAGGAGACCCAATGTATGTAGAGCCGAGTGAAAAAAACCTTTATTTTTTTATTTTTTTAAGGCCTCATTCTATTCTAACCTCCGCGAGTGCTCACGCGCTAAAAGTACAACAATAATATCTAATATATAGAGCAAGTGAAGTCGGCTAGAGCCATGTAAATTCAACTGAAGTCAGGCTCAGCCAAAAATGTAGCAACCAACGCTGCATCAGGCTTATAGGGTCTTTCCACACACCGTCAAAGCGCATCCACCGTCCGTTGAACTAACTGCTTATAAGGTTTTGCCGTTCCGAATTTTCTCAAATGGACCGCGGTTAGAACGCATCTAAATCTAACCACGGTTTGTTAGGCGATAGTTTTTCAGTGCAACTCTGATTTCTTCTTAACAGTGCAAATTTGACCAACACTACGAAAATGTAAACAAACAATTGAAAAATGAAATTTAAAATGTGGCGCCAAAGCTACAAGCATGCACAAAATAGTTGTTCGCGTTGTTGTTTGTATATTCTTGCCTCCCCCCCCAATTGCTACTATTTAATATTAAACGCATACCTCTACTTTATTTTATAGATTTGGGAAGCCTATACTACCTACACACACTCTTCGGGGAATTTGCTCTTTGTTAGAGATAAATCATTAGAGAAACTCAAATTCCTCGTCATCTAATTCATTTCAAGTAAGTGCGGATAAAATCTGACGCAATCTGTGCTTTTGCTGTTGTACAACAGCCAAAATAGTTGGTAAATGCTCCAATTAAAATTTGCAACTGCCAATTTGACAGTCTTTGTTTACGTTTTCATGAGCCATAGCGGATTGATCAGCTGTTCGGATGCGGATGCACTTTAACGCAGCTCTGTGGGAACACGAGTTCCACTCCCAACCGTTCCTCACAAATGCCCTGTGTGGGAAGACAGTATAAGTTTTGTTTCTAAATATTTTTCCTAAATATTATATGTGTTGGACTGAGGGCAGCGAGGAGGCCCTAACAGCACTAATGCACGCGCATTTCTCTGGATGCACTGAGGTACCCGATGCAAATAAGCACCAGGACCTAGCAACTGGAGTAGAGCATCTCCCAAAAGGTTTAATATCCTCTGGTAGAATCCACTGGGCTATAGACTCCTTTGCGAGGATAAAAGCACCAGGACCAGATGGAATATTCCCAGCCATGCTGCAGGTGACCAAGGAGGTGATCACCCCATGGCTCTACGCAATATATACAGCTTGTTTAAGCACGGGCTATATCCCTATCCAATGGAGGACCTCTCGAATTGTCTTCCTGCCCAAAGCAGGAAAGTGCAGCCACGTGAGCCCCAAGGATTACAGACCGATATATATATATCACCTAGATATCCAAGCGCAACTGACAGCAGGAAAGGCGGCACAATGGACCAAATGACTGGAAGTCAGGCCAGGACTCTGCTCAACACCTCAATATATACACCGACGGCTCCAAGATGGAAGGAGGAGTTGGAGCGGGCATATAGTGTTCAGACCCTGAAATGAGGCTGTCGTATAAGTTACCAAGCTACTGCAGTATATTCCAGGCGGAAGTATTCGCCATCAGGAAAGCAGCAGAGTTTGCGCAGAGCATAAACCGTCCACATGAGGCGGTCAATTTGTTCGTAGACATTCAAGCTGCGATAAGATCCATGCAATCATCAGCGGTCAGTTCCAAAAATGTACTGGCAAGCAGGGAGTCACTAGATAGCCTAAGCACGACTAAGTCTGTGAGGATCTACTGGGTTCCCAGGCACCAAGGCATAGACGGTAACGAAACCGCGGACGAACTTGCAAAGGAAGGCGTTGGACTGGCGAGTGAAGGAGCAGAAAACGTCCCTATCTCCCTAAGAACGCTCTAAACCTATATGTGAGCTAGAGAGACGGGCTAACGCAAGCGCAAAAAGTAGGTGGAGGAGTAATTCCGCAACCTGCAGATTATCAAAAATCATGTGCAAAGAACACAATGAGAAACTCACCCACTACGTGCTGCATCTTCCGCGGAAGGACTGCAGAATGTTAGTGGGTCTGCTGCACATGCAGTCAAGCTGGGTATTACCGACAACGCCAAATGCCGGAAATGTGATGAATCCGAGGCAATCGAAACCTTGGAGCATCTCATTTGCAAATGTCCGGCCCTAACGAGGGCAAGAATGAGATACCTAGGCTCTCCAGTTCTGGCATCGCTAGAAGATGCCTCCAGGAAAAAACCAGGCGAACTCCTTGCCTTTGCGAAAAACACCTTGATATTAAAGGATCTCGAAACCCGCATAAATAGTCTCTAGGTTCATCCAGGAGTTTCCCCGGATAGCTATGGGCCATATTGGCCTATGTGGGGCCCCCTGAGGGCCGTCCGGTCTAACCTAAAACCTAACCTAAAACCTATATGTGTTGGCAAAGAAAAGAATTGTGGAAAACCTGCGGGAAAATTTAAAGGTGCGGTAAAACCATAAGAATCAATAAATCACTGAAAATAAACCCCCAAATAACCTTCAGTGCATACGAACAAGAACAAAAAATAAAATACGTGCATTGAAGACCGTCAACAACAACATCAAAAAGCTCGTTGGCAATAAAATCTTAATTTCCGCTAAGAATTGTTTCCAGCTACACACACCATTCAAAGATCTTTCGCCGATGGAGCTGTAAGTGAAACCAATGCATGCTAATTATCGTTTTTTTGGTTTTGCTCGCGGCTTCCGTAAAGATAAGCTTTAATTGCATTTAAAAACAAATGTCCGTAATTATTGCAAAATATGCGAAAGCTTATCTAATTTCGCTATTCAGCCACTAAACTTTCAAGAGCATAAAGCTCAGCTGATCGCGGTGCATCACCGTATTGCCTATTGCATAGCTTTCGCTACACTGAGCGACGAATTTTTGGAAATGTGAAAAAATAAAATCAGATTAATTACATTTTCCACTCTCATAATATCAAATTAAATATTTTATTTTTATAGTAATTAATATTAAAAAATAATTCATAATATTAAAATTTAAAATTGTTATTTTGTCTAGCCCAGATTCTTCAAATTATAATAAATATTTCCCTCTCTTCTGGGTAAACTTTTAGTATGACAGCATACACTGAAAGAAAATTTTGGTTGTAAAAGACATAAATAAATAAATAAATTATTTTTTTTGTAAACTTTGATTTTGCTATTATTATTACGACTTTTAGTAAACTTAAATAAAAGTATTAATTAATAAATAATAGTAAAATTCGGGACTTTGATTAGTTTCTCAGTTATAATTCGGTTTAGTTAAATTGTCCCGTGCTCCCTCATTTATTCTTATGGATTATATATTCTACTCTAAAGAATTTTTAATACTCTTAACCATATGTATATATCTAATCCTTTTATTTTTCACAGCAGTGTGTTTCGAATAT